CACCGCTTTGCCTTTTTCCATAATTATCGAGATCTTTCAGTAAATTCACGATCACTTTACAACTTTCAATAACTATTTTGCCTATTTCTGTTATTACGTTCTTCGTTTAATTTCAATATCGCGTGTATTTCAGCTCCGTTTAACTTTCTCTCGCGACCCATTTTTTACAAATGTTAATACGCACTTGACTGACTGTATTTCACACGAATGTTACGCTTTCGATAGCTCCCGTACGACCGAGCAGCGTAAATACTCGAAATACTTGTTCAAACATTTTCGTTTTCGTATTTCTGAGAAATTACGTGTCTTCGGTAATGACATTCGACACAGATCGCATAGATCCACGTGTCAAGGATACTCATGTATAATAATCTTTCGTTCGTACCTTACAATACGATGATATGAAAAAATATAGAGTGACAAAGCCATTTTTTACCACGGGGTGTATTCTGCGTCGTTGGATTTCGCGAGAACGCCTAAAAATACAGCAATACGTACTTAATTGAAAACACCATCAAAGAATCTCTTTGATACAGTCTCCCAGATTTCTCGAACGTTTTTTGCCAGAAAACTCTTGACGAACGTTCTCTGTTTCACGTCTCTGTTTTCTTTCAGAGTCGGGTCGAACGCGTTTCCTTCATTCGTGACTAATATCCGCTCACGTATGTATCGTTAATACCAGTCACGCGAAAGAAAAAAAAAAAGAAATGAGGAACGTTTCTTTCAAAGAGACAACAATTTATTTTTATCACTTTTTCTCCGTGACTCGGAATTTGGTCATATCTTACGAAATGTGGATGGTCGGCTATTAATTGGCGCACAGCCATGAATTAATCCGTTTCCCTTTCATTGTTCGCGCGAGCTCTGTGAAAGTCTCGTTAGCGTATCGTTCGTGACTGATTATGAGCAAAAATAATGAAACCTTAGAAAGTACCGTGGGCTGACTTTCACTGCCAAAGGTTCAAAACGAAATGCATTTCAACAGAAGATAATCGCGATATGATACCAAGTTGCACAGAATTGGATTCGTTTCAATTGTGTATTCAACGTCGGACATAATAGACTTGGTATCTCGGTTGTTAGTTAAAAAAAGAAACCGTGGTTAAAAAGGAAACATTGAAAAGCTTGGTGTGTGTCATACTGAATAATAAAACACCTACAGTGCTTTTTCGAAAATAATACAATGGGAAAACCCGTCAGAAATATAATTTTTCAAGCGTTAATAATAAATAAATTTAATGCTCTGTAATTTAAAATGAATTAATTCTCTTTTTCGATTGGTTAGACATTTTCTGTAAAACAGACATAAATCATGCCAACTTTTATCGACTTTACTACAAATCTGCCATAATATATACTTTTCAATTTATGAATGTAAAGCACGTACAAGGACAATAGAAAAATTAAATTTCTAATGCTAAGATGTTTATTATATTCAATACTCTCATTAAATATCATAATTCCATTTCATAAAATTTTAGACAATATTGCTATTTACTTTTGACATTTTCTTCTCTCTGTTACTGTGTAATAATAAACAAATAAATGCCATTAAAAATACGACGAAAACCTACTACAATATATAACTTGCAATATATACTCCTAATTTTGCGATAAACGAATCCAATAATCAAACACTGACACATCGAGTTTATTATCGAAATTATGTCTCTCTCTTAATGACACACGGTGCGCGTCTTGCCTCTCTGAAAAAACTATTCAAAGTGAAAAGTTACAGGCCACGAAGTGAACTTGAATTAACGAAAGAGCATCGACCAAGCATCGCCTATCGAGACCCTAAAAGCGACCTTTCACCAAAGTAGGGACGAACCTGCCCGCTTACACGGCACGCACGACACGTTAAACGTATCGAGTGTGTATCGAGCAAGGTCAGGTTGCGTAAAAATGCCAGCGCTAGCCGGCATGATTCTTCACAATGTGAACCGGTAGAGGTCGATCGGTCCCCAGGTATACCTAAGGCCAGGAATATCCACTGGTGCACGCCCCCGCCGTGCCAGAATCAAGGGGACATTATGCTAACCTCGAGTGCACTGGCCAAACCACCAACAACTCATCCCAGAAATATGACCGAACATTATTATTAGATTACGTTTCAGCTAAAGACTGGAGTCACATGTCTTGGATCATTTGTTAATCTCTCTTTTCCCTCGCGTATGAAATAAGGTCCATCATGTGATCGATCGATGAGAACGGAATTGTAAGATATTCCGACAAGCGTGCAAAATGTGACAAGTTCAGTTTTACGTTGGTACATGGTGAATGGAAAAGAAGTATTTAGAATTTTAAGCAAGAAATAAAGAAGAAAGTAAAGTGAGAATTTTGAAAATAGATGATAATATTATAATGTTTCTTTTCTAGTTAATACTGTTGGTTTAGTATCTATGTTGATTTATTTTATTCAATATTAAGCTACGTGATTAATTTCGTTAATATTCGCTAAATTTTCAAATGATTTTCTATCTTTTCGGGAAATGATAGAAAGCATTAAGATTGGAGAAATTTTTGAATACTTGACGATTATGTTTTGAGCCAAACTTCTGTTTGAAATCAACAATAGTATTGGCCATGCGTGTACAGCCGGACCTGGGCAGACCACAGTAGAAACAGACATACACGATCATTTATTATCGTAATAGATTCACGCTAAAAAATACATCGTGTAAACAAAAACTGCCAAAATTTGAATCGATTTCCCAAACAATTTAATATAGTAAGTTTTTAGTTAATGTAGTACTTTGTATTTTTCTTTACTCTAAAAATTTATTACTTCCGATTTATTTGTCAATAACCTCTATTTACTTTCAATTTATTTGTCAATAAATCTAATTCTAAACTTTCGATTAAAAAATGATATGAAAATGTATTAATATTAATGAATTTAAATTAGCACATACACGAAAAAATGCACGAAAGTAATCATATATAATAACTGTAGTCGTTATACGCTGTTAGGCAAATTACGATACAATGTATACATTTACAATGAACGTATATATTTTACATATTTTCTATGTAATTTTAACATATTTATAGATGTTCTACTTGCGTAAATGCTCGTCTATTCACTACCTTAATCACCGGTAATTACAGTTCACAAGTACGTCGCTATAGTTCAACAAGTTTCCAGACACTTTATATTACGCTACAATGTTAATACACGTTGAGAAACAATAAGAAATTCGAGCAAATTATCACCTTTCTCTAAAGACTCCCATTAACGTACTTTCCTTCCTACTTTTACTCATTCAAACTCTATGAGGAACAGTTTCTTAGAAATTTTGTTTAATCAACTTCTTGGATCATCTACATTACTTGAGAAATAGCGAAAAAATAGAATGATATTACGTAGAATGACTGTCTTTCAAATTTCCCTTGACAATTATAATTTCACCGGAGGATGAATCTCAATCGTTGATCATATAATCAAATAACAAATCGAGAAATTAAGAACACCATCTCATTCTCTCCAAAAGTAAACGAAGCTTTCTAAATTTTCTTTCGTATATTTATTTATAGCGTAAGTGCGATTTCCAATTTTTCTTATGTTTTGACTTTTCCCGAGTCACAGGAATGAAAAATTATCAATTCGACACATTCGAATATTGCCTAGACGATCGCCCATCGCTTGCTGACGTTTCGCAAACACCAAATTCGCCAATTCGATAATACGAAAATAACAAGGCTCGTCGCGTGAACCAATTTCGAAGTGAAATAAACGACAACGTGTCCCAGTGTCTCGTTTGAAAATTCGTCGCCAGATGTTACAAGCGACGAGGAAGATCGTCCAAGAGGCTACCAGAGATACGACGCGACGCCGCGATAAAATCAAACGCGGTGCTCTTGACTCGCTCCGGAGCATTGGCCTTTTGTTTTTAATGCTGTTCCCTTGTTAATCGATCCGCCGATTAGCTCTTCATTACATCGCCGTCCTGTCCACGAATAAGCTCTACACGAAATGCGATTATCATTCGCACGGTGTTGCGATAAATAGTCTTGAAATCGAGTAAAACGAGATCTGATTTAATAAATGTTTCCTCTCGGACTTGTTAAGTTCAATTAACTCTCAGATCGTGTATGTAAACTGTTCACGGTAATTAACTCTTAATATTTCAATTCCGGTAAAATTATTCTTCATATGAAGATCAATGAAAATTTATTTAATATAATACGCACGTAGAATATCATTCGTCCCGTATCTACTTCTCGTGATTGTATATCTTTTAATTTCTTTTTCAAATTTTTTTCTTTATTCCTGTATAAACTCAGAGTGGTATATTTTTACGGAAGAGAATGAAAAAGAGTGAAATTTAAACAGAAATCTGCTCTATACCTGCCCAAGTATTATACTTTACTTTGCATATCTTGTACATTTTCGCGCAATCTAATTATATGAAAGTGATTCTCGAAACGGGTTCAAGAATCTAGTGCACAGCGTATTTCAAGAGTCACAAAGTATCTCAAAAAGACGTAAACCTACATTTTACATCAAAGAATGTTAATTTCTCAATGCCGATCGGACGATTTTCATTTTCCTCTAGGCAAGTGCTATAAACTTTGAAACACCTCTTTCGTAACACCACATATACTCGCCGGCATATATTTACTCGTTAAAACCATCTCGAGAACCGAGATCACTCATTGTTAAATCGAATTTCAAGATGGAACGCAATTTCGTCTAGGAAAAACCGTTCGAACAGTCCAGCTATTCAAACGGTAAACAGCCGTGAACAATGTTCAAATAACGAGTGGCCTCAGATAATAAAGGTTCCACAGTTACTCGGTTCTTCGAACCACGACGAATGCTTATTTATCTTCATTCAACTAATAGCTCGGAATTCGACTTGCCTTGCATTAAATTATCCTCCATTTCGTTTCTATTCTCGCTTCTCCTTCATCTACTTCCAACCAGATTCTCTCACTCTCTCTTTCTCTCGTTCGAGCGTACCGTGTAAATGCATATTAAATTTAATAGTACTCACGTTTCGAGCCACCCTCTCCGAAGATCCTCGAAGCAGCTCCGCAAGGAGTTCGGGACTTGGCCCCGGAAGACCTTCGAGTTTGCTCGGGCTGGAAGTGGTTCTATGATGGCAAGGCGTAGGCGGCTCTGAACCGCTGTTATTCGAGCTTGTGTTGTACGAGAGATTCGCGGAAACTTTTCTACGTGGACGTAATCCTTCCTCCAGAGAGATATCAGCGGTTCGTGGTTTCGCCATCTCTGCCTCGAGCATTTGTCCGTATGGTCCACGAAGTGGTCTCTTGCTGTACCTGGACAAACAGGATTTTATGAAGCGCCACGTTTAATAAGACGAAATATCAAGGCAGGCGTTCTGAGATCAAAAGGGATAAGGTAAAGTAAGCTCGAGGTGTTAGGATTTTTACCGTCAGGCGCTAGGAAATGTACAGCGTGTGTAGTATTGTAAAAACAATTAACGAAGAGGTTAACACATTATCAAAACTAATTATCCAAAATTATTAACTTTCATTTGTATTTTGTACGAATTTAATTTTTAACTTGATGTCGACTCACCGTACGAATTCTCAACTTTCACAATTCGAGCCATTTGTACTAATTTTGCTAACTCTTTATTTTCTAATTCTTACTCTTTACACTTAAAAAAGAATTGAAGTATCACGATCGTAGAAAATCATTCCGTAGAAAGACCAAAAGTAATCCAACACCGTCTAATGTACAATGTTGGATATACCAAAATTTCTGTTACAGTGTTACAGTGTGTTATATACCAAAATTTCTATTTCAAAATTTATCCAACTCTAATCGAAAATGTTGAGCGACAATGGTGAAACGAGCGCGAGAGACAAAGAGAGTGGGTGCTTTCGAGCCTCGTCGCGGGTTTCTCATCTTGAAATCGTGTCCATAGGCAGGCGCCTCGGGTCTATTTGCATTCTATTCCGATATATCAGCAGTCGTTCTCGTGTTACCTTCTAGGCGTGTGGCCCTCGCAGTCGGAGAGGTCGCTCGGCGTCGCAGGTGGCTCGTCTCTTTCCTCGCTGCTCTGAGCTGACAGCTTGTTCCTGTCGGTGTCCAAGGACTCCGGCCATTGGGTTATGTACACGCCCTTTCTCCTTTTGCTGGTGTCCCCTCGGTACCTCCTCGATTTGCCCGACGGCGACGAGGCTTCGGAGGGTGCTTCGCTCGCCGCCTCGCTACCCTCGCTGGCTTGACTCAATCGGGGCTCCTCGGGTGGCGGTGTGATTATCACCTCGTGCGGCTCCAGCCTATTTTCTGTAGGAAATGATCGACTTCGTTTCAAACGAACGGCAACGAACGTGCATTTGAAATGACATTTTTTTTTTTTTTTTTCTCTCTGTGTCTTTGGTAAATTGGAAATATCTCGATGCCTGCGTCTTTCGCCAATATTTTATTCTTCGTCGAATAAAAATTGAAACATTCACTTGCAAGATTCAAAGATTCCCTGAACCAACATTTTTGTATCGTCTTCTTTGTTAAGTAAATTTGAAGCAAACGAAGGCAAATCTTTTCGTTAGAATTCGGGGAAAATACGTCTACGATGGCATTTACTCGCGGCGTCCGCTCTCACAATCAGATTAGCGAGCTCAAGGCTCCGAGCGTGAACGGGCGTTGAAGTCATCAATGAAGATGGGTAGAAACTCGATGACGTTGAAATTTCTATTTCGACCCTGGCACCCGCCGTTCCGAGAATAGAGCCACGCGAAATAAAGTGGAAACTCGGGTGCACCTTTGTGCCCGTAACTCCTATCGATGCACCAAAAATAGTCCTTCTTTCCCTTGCCGCCGTTCCGCCGCGCGCAGCGGAGGACAAGCGAAAATATTTGGCCGACTGGTCCGGCGGTTCGATTCGACCGCTCCGATACATCAACGACACGAGGCGTCAGACTTTCAACGCTCAATTCCTAATTCTTGCCGCTCGATGCTTCGATAAACGTGTCAACGGATGTCCGATAATTAAAAGCGAGCCAGCATGGCGGCAGGGTCGTTGAATCTCTCGCGTGCGTTCCTCTATTAAGAGAGGCTCGCGATATTGATAAGCCGCGGTTCGCGCAAGACGAGGGTGAGGCGAGGGTGATTCCGCGCGATTCTGGCACGGACAAAGCCGTTAAATTAAAATTACAAGCTGCGAGGATGTCGGACTTTATCGGTTGTATTATGTTGCCAATTTTCACCGACGAAATCAGCCAAATAACAAACAGTTGCTACGCGGAGGGAAGGCTACGCTTCGCGAATTCTCAGCTGTTCGCGAAGAAATTATTCTCACTCGAGAGTTTCGATTTTGTATATAACTCGCGATAGTCCTGGCTGATTCGAAGACAGAATGCATTGAAACTAGAGATGCAGCGAATAATTCAAACAACTCCCAAACTATTCGAGAAACTATTAATTCTCAAGGCTCCTTGATTTCCTTGTGCCATTGAAATTTCCATTGGAAACTTCATCTGAAAATACTAACATCAACGAGTACCTGATCTCACGCCGTTCAAATTCAGACAACTCGATCGATCCGAACCTTAAATTTCACGACTCCGTCCAAATCTATCTTTATTGACAATCGACCTCTTCCCTGATACACAGTTGGGCATTATTCAAATAAATTCTTCGAATAAAATTTTATTCGTGTAATATTTCGAATAATTTTCTAGGAAACGTAATTTTCCTAATTTTGTTAGGAAACGTAAACAAAATGTTTACATGATCTGTCTTCTAACTGCAGATAAGAGGCCGTGAAGCCAGTTCTCGTGAAACCTCGAAATAATCAATTCGGTATACAACTACAATTACTCATCATTGAACTGAGTATAACGAACAAAGTCATGTCCGAATAAGCTTTGTTCGAATGAAATCGTTATTCGTGATTTACAAATAAATTTGACAATTAATTCGCCTGGCAAAAACCTTCCTCACAACAAGCTCCAGACAAACTCGTAGGCAAACACATTTCTCTCTCTTTCTTCACAACGCCGGAGGATGACAACTCACCTTTCTGCGCGGTTTCTTCAATGGGCGCGCTCTCGACGAGCGGGAAAACGGGTTCGGCGGCGAGGATCTCGACAGGAGGCACGTCAGATTGCACCAGGTCGATCGCAACTCTCGGCTCGTTGATTTCCGGCACCGGGGGCTCCGGGCTGGTGAGCGCGCTCGAAGTCGCCAGACTGTCGGAACCATCGCTCCTCGGCCGAATCTCCTCGTGATTTCCGGCTTGAGGTACACCAAGCCCTTCCGCAGAGCCAACGGCGCTGTCGACGCTGGGCGTCGATGTCCTCGGACTCTGACGATTCGGGCTGTTTTGTGGCGTCGAGACCGCTGGACTGACGTCCCCGCGTCTTCGCGGCAACGTGCTCGCACGAACATCCTTGCTCTCCGTCCGATTCGACGTGGCTATTGGCTGTGCCTTCTGTCGACTAACTGGAACACAACGATCCATCATTACTGCGTGAAACGCGAAGATTTCTTTCCACATTTACTCCGGGTTTTTCTTTGGCAGAGACAAAAGATCATTTAACTACCATATCGGTCAAATTAACCGTTTTCAAACTTTCTCGTGCAATTGTGTTTTTCTCAACATTGCTAAAATATGCAAAAAATGAATTTTTCAATATTTACTTTTATCTACCGCTAATCTTCCGGTTCATTTGACCGGTCGAAAAATTGATGATATTTACTCTTCTAAACTACGTACAATCGAGTCACGAGAAAGGCTATCTGAATAGAGGTGATATCAAGTTATGCACGTGAATGATTGATAACAATGTTTCATTGCAAGAGCATACACAGTGGAATTTGATAGCATCGGGAGAGATCATTGCAGTCTAATAGTTCTAAAGTGTCTTTTTCTTTCTTTTGCATTTCAAATTACAAGTGCAAACTTGAAGAAAAAGAAAAAGTAAATCCGCAATACTTTGGGTAAATATAAAATTTTGCATTATGAAATTTTGTGAATAAAAATATCAAGGCATTCAAAAAATATGAGATTATTAGAAAAAATAATTAACACAGAAAGAAAAGTGTTAATTCGGATGTACAAAAACTTTCTGGAACTGAAACTAAGATGGAAAAAGATAGTGACCTATTTGACACATCCTCTTTTTGGGGACTCTAACTAGGAGATAATAAAGAGGAGAATATTTTGCATAAACGTAGAGGACAAAAGAAGAGATTAGTATTGAATTCCAAAACTGCTGCTGATACCAAGTTGACTATTATCAACTGTAAAAAATATCACTTTTTTTTAAGGACCAGTCATTTTGACCGGTCACGGTAGGAATACATAAAGTGTCGGTAGATTTAGTGTTAAAGCAGGAAAGTATTGGATGAAGAAGTTCGTAGCGTCTTTGATACTCGCAGAGACACTCCGCATGTTCTATTTTTAACGAGATTTCGAAAGGATTACTTGCTACATATTTCTGTAACGTAACGATTTACAAGTCCCAACTGAACATCAGACTCGTCTATTAAAAATAAATTTGGCATTGGTCAATAGCAAAAGTTTCGTTTTCGAATGTGGGAAAACAGATTCTATATTTATGCTCGAAGCTCGCAAAAATCACGTTGAAGAACTCATTGCATTGAGATACAGGCATTGCCGAAGGAGCAATTATGAAATTACTCAATAAATGTAGCCAAACATTGTTAAAAGGAATGGCGTATATCGTTCAAATTAATTCTATGGTCAATTCCATAAAAATGTATTAACTCAACACTTAATTCTATAAAAATATATTAACTTTGAATCAAATAAAAGTAATTCAATAAAGGTATAGCAGATGGTTATTTTACAACTCGGAAATGTAGGTCTGAGACTCATTTTAAGAAAATGAGTTTGAAATAGAATTTCACGACACTTCATTGACAGCCAGACTGAACGCGCTAATTGCAAGTCGAGAATTAGCTGATCGAGTGCATGTGTACCCAAGGAATTTTCAAATCCTCCAAGCAAAAGTTTCACTCATTTCGTTTCTTCGATTAATCTCTCCTTACAGAATTATCTCCTACGGAATCACCGATTAGATTGTGTCAGCTGTCCCGAAACATCCTGCCTGTTTACCAGAGATCGATGATACGAAGTTAATGGCGCAATTAATTAATCCTTTCCAAACTAATTCGACGAGTCTCGTACAGTGATCCTTATCTTTTAAATTGCCGCGTTGAATTCAACAGTTCAGGAAACTTGGTGATTCATTGCAGAAGAGATAATTAATCGGAGTAATGAAGTTGTATATGTTAATAACCTCTTCAATAAAATTCCAACTATATTATATTTTTTTACAACGGTTCTTACGTTCGACACACAATCTACTTCAGGGAGCAGAATATTTTTGATTCAATTTCCATTTAATATCTATAAACTACCAACATCAATACCCTACTTCGAATTGGTTTCCAAATATTATCCCAATCGAATAGACAAGAAGACGCTGTTCTTTCGTTCGATATTTATCGCTCGATTTCTCCAGCTTATCAGTTATCCAGATCGAAACGTTGTCCGAATGAGGAAACGAACGAGAGTAGATTTTTTTCGCGAGCAAGATCGCGAGAAAAAGAGAGGGGAAGTTCTAATTACCTCCTCGAGTGTCAGGTAAAGTTTGGCAGCCCTCTCAACGTGAAGAGGTGGTACATTCCAATAATAACAAACAGAGTGCGTACGAGTGTGTACGAAAGAACGGGAACGAAGATCGTCGGTGACGCTCCGAAAACCGACAGCACGTCATATTGGCCGAATTCCCACGAAGATAGCGACCGATTAAGAGACGAATTTCTGTCGCCTTTTTCAGAGTTTTCTGTTGTTACCTTTCAAATATGTACCAATTATTTTCTATACAATGTCATTTGACTTTAGACGTTTCGTTTCGATTTTAATTAAAGAAAATTCTGTGTTATTAATTACTCGCTATACACTACCGTGTATATTATCGTGCGTTGTACATTGACGATAAATTATTATAACTGGAATTCTGTCACATCTGATGATTTCTTTGTATCACAAATTGTCAAATTTGAAACAGTGAATAATATTGTGTACTTTTCATTTCTTCGATTGCTGCGAGTTTTCATTGCAATTTAGAATTATAAATACGTACTATAATTTTTACTTTGTGAATTATTGTACGGTAATCATTTCGTGTTGCGTATTCTCATTTTATTGTGATAATTGTTGTTACATCTCATTTACTCGGGAAGCTGAGAACTCGAAGCTATACTGGATTATCATCAGTAATTCAGCTTCCGACTAAATATACTATGCGCTAATAAACACGCTCCAAGTGCATGCAGCAAATTTATTCGCTGTCTAAGGGAACGTGGCACGTTCGTGTTACGTATTATTAATTTGGCACAAATTTCATACACAGCGCGATCTGCATCTAATAACGTAATAAATTTCACGGTACACGTTGCTAAAAAGTTCTTCCAGACCGTCACAATTTCTGTCAGACTTCGTACGAATCGATATCAAAATTTTTTTTCTGAGTGAGAAACCGTTTCTTCATGCAAATTTTAACAGCTCCCCTTTCGAGCGAAAAGTTTCGCATTCCATGTACGCGGGTGTGTGAAGACGAAAGCCACGTTTCTTTTGTGAAAATTGAAAGTAACAAGAAACTGGTCGATCCATCGATAATTACAACAGGTGTTGTTAACAGGTGTCGAGGACGATCATGATGGATACCGCAGCCTTCGCGTAATTATCGTCGCGGTAATTAAACGTCAAATTGACCGCTATGTAAATCCTTCGATTGCGGCAAAACAAACATACGTTAATTTAGTTCGCAGTCTTCTTGATGGGAGAACGTCTCGCGAGGATAAACACAAGGGACAAGAAAAACAGTGGAACTTGTTGCGAATGCATAAGTAGCAATTACGGGCATACACAATGCAATTGCACGCTCGAGAATATCACGATCTCGTTTCACTTTAATCAATATCATTTTGAAAGAAATTTAATTCAAACTATTCGTTGTTGTTTTTTTTTTTTTTTTTTCAAACATCCGTTTAGATGTGAAGTAGAAATTCAAGGTTGATTAATAGCTTATTGAATTTTAAAATCACCTTCTTGCAGAAAATGAAGCTATTGGGCTTACTTTATACAAAACTAATACGTCCACGTAACGAAAGACTCGTCATAAAATAATTTTTTTACTTTATGGAAAGAATTTCCATCGAATAATAAAGATCCTTTATTGTAAAGCCAGCTTTCTACCATAAAATCGCTTTCTATTTTATAACAAAAAAATGGACCAGGTTAACCATAAGCTATAAAAGTTCTTTCCTCAAAAAAGAATTCTCCTCAATTCGATAACAATTATGTGTTAATTAATTTCATATTGATGGGTGAGAAAGAAAGAAAACATTTCGCCGTACGATAAAGACTTCCTTTTCTTCCAATTCATTTCCGAGTTCCCTCAGTTATCCAGCGCCTGCGGCCATAATCAGTTTGCCGTGCGTCGTTTTCATTAGATCGTAGCCGGGGGCAACGTGAGATCGTCAATTCGTGATCGTAATCACTATCATCGAGTACGATTCTTTTCGTTTGCCGAACGACGATTGCCGGATAAGCGGAAATCTATTATCTACTCGTTGCTTTCTCTCCGTCTCTTCCTCCTCCTTCCCATCCCCACGATGCTCGACGTTCTCCGGCTCTTAATGACCGAGAGGATCCATGGTCCGCAGCCGTATTTCAGAGGATACCTAGTTACACGTGCTCGTAAACCGTCTTCCAAACGTAAGAAGTGTTTTCCGCGGGAGATTTGTTGGCGCGTTAGCACGTTTCCGGCTTGAGGTTTCCACGCGATTCATCGCGTTTCACGCCTTCGGCCTTGTTACACATTGAGAAACCCGGCGCGCGTTTCCTTTCTCGAGTTTTTCGAGACAGCAACTGTCTGAAGCGAATAGGAATTTTTCGGCTAATCCGAGAAAGTAAGTCAAAGCTGGTTTTGAAACAGAAAATGTACTCGTTACTCAATTATTCAACTTTTTCTTTCGTTACAATTTGAGTAAGAGTTTTTGGATCTCAAGAACCGGAGATCATTGCTCGAGTTACGAAAGTATAACACAATTGAGAAGAAAGGAATTTTTTTCAAGAAGGTAGTTTCAATCAGCATTATAATAGTTTTTTTTTTTTCTTCTTCTTCTTTTACTGTTTGACTTTTATGAAGTTTTAAAAGTTCTAATCGTTTACCATCGAAAAGTAAATTAAAACAACTCTACCTTGATTTATTATATAACAGTGTTCTTAAATGTTAAATAATATAGTTTTCTTTGCCTTAAATAAAAACAGTTCAGCGAGAAAAGAAAAATACATGTACCTCGAAAAATTGTAATTATATCAGGAAAGGAAGAGAGATCGTAGATTGAATGGCATTTTCTTGTTATAGTGTCATCCACGAACTACACGTTCACTTTGTAGATGTACT